CTGCTCCGGGTGTGTGTTCACGGTGTGTGTGTGTTCACTGCTGTGTGTGTGCACTTTGGATGGGATAAATGCAGAGCACTAATTCCTAGTATGGGTCACCATACTTGGCCACATGTCACTTCACTTCACTTCATATGGGGATTTCAAAGCAGCTCCATGTTCAAATTGTTGAATTTTTAGTTTCTGAAATTTGGTTGATTTGACACTGAATGACCCACTATTTACCCAGCAGCCTGCAGCCAATACACAAGCTCCATCGCTGTACTTTTTTGTAACAGCTAAGTGCGTTTTGTAAGCAGTGCTCTCAAACTGCATGATAATTCATGCATTTCATGCATTCTCGGTTACACAGGAATGTCAAAGCAAAGCCAACGCCTTTTACAAGCAATGCAGCAGAGTGTGTGAATCACTGCTCTGGGTTAACAGTCCAGAGGGACTCTTCTCTACTGGCTTTAAATATCAATTTCTTGTCCAACACTCAACAATTAGGTAACCAAAAAGAATGAATCTGCGCTTGAGAAAGATAGTTTATGTAATTTCCTCAGTCTAAAGTTAATGACAGCACTTTTGTAATTTCCAAATAACTTTCTTTTTTATACTAAATCACATATAATCTAAATGTATGTACATTAAATAATCTAAAACAAGATTTCTATGTCAAAACTTTAGCCAAGAGAGAATTTCCAGGGAGACAGTATAATTGGTACAAGGTGCATGCAAAGAGATCATAATTAAAGGTTTTGGAGACGTCATTGAGCAGCTCTGAAGAAAAAGAAAAAAAAACACTCATGCAATGGATCAAACAGGTATTTCAAGAAGGTATTATATATGTACGTCACATACGCAGGAAGCATGACACAAGGCGGATAACTTCTCAGAATGCTGTAATTGCTCCAGTCTTATTCAGAGACTGATTGTTGCTATTTCGCAATTTAAAAGATCAGGAAATTAGATAACCTGTTAACTTAAGCTTCCAAACAAACCTATGCTGCAAAATGCAGACAAACAGAGTTTTTTGTTTTTGTTTTTTGCTGAAATATGCAAAATGTGCAGTGTTGGAAGGCCTCCAGGAACGGGGCTGGGAACCACTGGTTTAAGGATATGGGTTTCTTCCATTCATTAACTGCCTTAGCAAATTCTATTAAGAATTAAATACAATTATTTTTTATGTAAAAATAAAATGAAACATAGTAAGAGAGGTTATTTATGTCTTAGTGCTTACTGGTCACCAACTCACGAGGTACAGTAACAAAGAACCTGTGAGCAATTTGAATAAGACATAAGACACTTCCTGAATACAACACAATAGAGCCCAATTCCTAACTGAACACGAGAAACTATTGTTTTGCACTTGTACTTCCAGACTTGGATTCATTTTTCAAGAACATTTCACAAGGTTTCTTGGTTTTGAATTATAAACAATGTTCAAAATAATGAAAATCAGATTGTGTGACTTTGTCTGTGGTTAGTAGCCTAAATCTTGCTTTCTATACATGTGGTTCCTCTGTAGGACAAATTTGTGAACTTGAGGAGAACTGATTTCATACACTAAAAATCAGCTGATTCAGAGACATTGAGATGAAAATAGAAGTTTTACAAAATGAGAAAGTTATTAGTGAGACCTAAGTGTCCAAATATGGGGTCACTGTAATACACAAACGTCTTCAGGTGACGTACCTCAATGTGATACTCTATGAGTAATGCAGCATTATAAACGATTCATTTAGATTGAATTATTATGCAGAAGAGATGCCCTGAAGATGAATATGCAAGTTACCAAGAACTGTAAAATAAAAGTTCAGGTTTTACTTCAGAAAACCAATGTTCAAGTGGTTTTAATGTACCTACAAACCAAAAAAAACATCTAAAGAACCTGTAATGATACATCAATATCCTTCATCTTCAAAGAACCAACTCAAGACCCTTATACAGCCAAAAATGGTTCTTTCAACAGAACTAACAACCACTGCTGGATCTTCATATCATCAAGTACTGTAGAAAATAAAGGCTCAGGTTTTAAGAACCTACAATGCAACATTAAGAACCTTCTTAATCGCCAAAGAACCATATACACTCTTAAAAATAGTTTCCAAAAGGAGGTTTTTGCAGCAATGTCAGAACAACTATTTTGGGTTCCCCAAAGAACATTTCAGCAAAAAGATCATAAAAGAACAAATGTTTATTATTGTGAAGAACATTTCAATACACTAAGGAACCTTTGGATGCATGGATATTAAAGGTTCTTCACAGATGTATTTTTTAAGAGTGTTTCAACTCAAGTCCCCAACAGACCTAAAAAGCAAAGTGTCATTTGCCGAACATAACCACTAAGGAATCTTCTACAGGATAACATCATTATGAGCAAAGGCCTCTTTAAATGATGCACAAGTCCAACACATTTTAACTGATGTTACGTTTCAAGACACCAAGCAAACACTGCACACGTCAATCGCTACCACAATAAGGAAACAAGATCCTCCAACAGCAACCGTCTCAACTTGCCTGTTGGAAGAGAGACTCAGATGTCAACGTGCATGAGTTTAAATAAAGACTGACAGCAAAGAAACTCACCTGTGTGCCTTCACCGATGCCCAAAGAACTAGAAGGAACACTTGTTTTTGTCTACAAAAGACTGCTGAACATCTACACGCATTGGCTTGTTACTCCGAGAAAGAGATCATGAACGAATCCTTGTCTTGGATATAGTTATCAGCCCAATGCGTGGGTTACATGCTGGTTTACAATGATGACACTGATTGTATGTGCAACCCAAGCCAATGATGTGTCACATACACACCCCCCCCTACCCCACCCACCACCCCCTTCCAAACCAGCAGATCTGGCTCCAACTCGCCGGAGGAGAAGACGAGGCTGCATGTGCAGCTCAGCTCGGCAATACACTGAACAACCTACTGAACCGTTGACAATGCGCTCTAATCCCATACAGCACTCATTCACCCCCCCAAGCCAATGATGCGTCACATACACACCCCCCCTCTACCCCACCCACCACCCCCTTCCAAACCAGCAGATCTGGCTCCAACTCGCCGGAGGAGAAGACGAGGCTGCATGTGCAGCTCAGCTCGGCAATACACTGAACAACCTACTGAACCGTTGACAATGCGCTCTAATCCCATACAGCACTCATTCACCCCACTGTTTGCGCAAATGAAAGCAGCACCACACCTCTCTGAGGTTTAACCGGCCTGAAACACTTTTCAAGTGCTATTTGGATCACATGCATCGTCGATGAGGATTCAGGAGCCAGAAAAAGTTTGGCCGAAGCGGTCAAGAAATTGGGTTGACCATGATATTATTGAGCTTGGGAAGACTGAGGCTAGTTTTTGTGGTCAGTGTAGTTTGAATGGCCGCTTCCGCATTCAAAGTTAGGAAAATCTCAAAGACCAGGGGCAGAGTTCAACTAAGCTGTCAATAAAACCTACACTGATGTCCGTGTTCAATGGCTACCGGAGAGAACAGAGGAATTTCATCAGATACAAGGACTATGAACAGAAAAAAACTGACAATCCAGTGCTTATGAAATTATATTGTATTAACCTGGCTTACTGAAACTTTTCAATCAACCACTTCACAATTCACTTCAGATGTAAGATGGCTAATGTCCGCCAGAGTTGATGGCTCTCTTTCAGTTAATGTGTGTGAATTTAAATTGAACTGGACAACAAGACATGCAGTTGAACTAGAATTTGAATTGAAATGTCACAAATTTACTGAATTGCAATTTGAAAAAAAAAAAAAAAGAGAACCATTTTGTTAATCCATTAGCTCATTGTTTATTTAGCCTATTTTTTTCTCAAAAAAAAAAAAAAAAATCAGACTTTAAAAAAACGCATTAACATCAAAATGTGAATATATTGATTATATAAAGAACATTCTGGGAAATGACTCTTCCATTGTAGTGTATAAAATGAAAGTTCATAAAATAATATAAGGACATTTAAATAATTTGTATAATTTTTATATGCAGAATTTCAAACACTGATTATTACTGATCATAATTCATAAGTCATGACAATGATCCTGCATATGTCACCAGAGAGAAGTTCAATATAAGGAAGATTGAGTTATTAAGTTATATTTTTATTAAAAATGTTGAAAAAAGAAGCATGCATGGATGAATCATTCATAAATTCAATATCATATAATGTTTCTAAAAATAGTCCATATGAGTAATTTATACAGAAAAATGAAACGCATTATTAAAAACTAAATTAACAGCAGTATTTCTTTGAATTCCAATCCATTTTGTCAAATTCAAAATACAATTCTACATCCCGTTTGCTACATCTAAATTTGAATTCACTTTCATCTCAATTCTCAATGGTGTGTACAAGTTACAGCAAACACTCATTTGCCAGTGACCTTTAAGCATGTACCCTGGAGTCATAAAGGAAAGACAAACAAAGAACAACGTCCACAACGGAGGCTGTTTTCTAGATTCCCAAAATTGGCCGAATGCAATGTTTTATGTGTTTCACACCTCACTGTGTTTGCTCATTTCCACTGAATCACATGTAATGGGGACACTAACAGCAAAAGAACAACATTGTGATACGCAATTTGCCTCGTCACAAAACCCATTATATTGATGCAGATCGGCCTAATTTAGTAACAACATGAGTGTGGCCTGTCAGCCGATATCAGCGTCTTGTCTTGGCCCAAAGGAATTGCGGTACTCAAGTGTATAATCTTGCCAAATAAGGTTCTTGCAAACAAACAAAGGGATGCAGCAAAGGAACTGATCCTTGTTTAAATATTCAGCACGCTATGATTGTGATCAATGCAAACCATGATGCAAAACAGGCTTCATGTCAGTGTTTAAGCAGCCCAGCTGGTGTGAGCATTACAATTGTAATTGCTGCATGTTCAGAGAGCAAAAGCTGCAAGGAATGAAGTCAAAAAAAAAAAACTTTGTCTGTTCCAAGGGATGAGCTACTGTAACCTCATGCATCTCATGAAACGAGCAAGATGATGTGACTGTTTGCGACAAGGAAATGGATTAAAAACAGCTCGTCGGGGAATCTGTGAGAGTCGACATGAACTTGTGCTGACGCGTTTCTGCTTATCCCAAAGAAAACAGTGATTATAGAATATAGCATTGTATTTTTTTTTTTGATTTGCTAGGGGGGAAATGGCATTTCTTTCAATGTTCCAGTGTTAAGTGTTCTATACAAAAACAATCTTTACAAACATAAAATGTTCAACACGCTCTACAATTAAAATGTAACTCCATAAACTCAATAAATGATTAGTTAACTTCCAGAATAAAAATGCCCTGATAATTTAGTTTTTGAGGAAAACATTCCAGGATTTTTCTCTATATAATGGACTTCAATGGGCTGAAGGTCCAAATTGCAGTTTCAGTACAGGTTCAAAGGCAGGGCTCACAAAATTTCAAAATCCCCTGGTAGCCCTTCGGGCAGGTACTCTTCAGGTTTTGGTAGCCCGAAAATTAATTTAACTATTCCAAATAAAAAATATTTTTTTTAAATATAGAAAATCAGACAGGAGTTTAAATGTCAATCAAAAATATTTTCAATACACAAATATCAGTTTTTATGAAAAGGGATAAATCAAGCATAAAAATTATGTCAATTTAAAACGTATAAATATTACCGTCTTAATTGCTTAGATTTTTAGAAGGCACATTATTAACTTCTTTCTCATTTACAACTATATGTGTTTGCTGCGTAAAAACATGGGTTGATATTTGCATTGATCTACTTTTGAAGTTTAATCCAGCCTTATCGCCATATCTTGTCTTTCCGTCCCCAACTGTAAGACCTCTTGAAATTATAATTAAGACATTTCTTATACCATTTAACGTATTTAAAACTTTTTATGGCCTTAAGTTTGATACAACTCACTTTAGGAGTTTTTAAGGATGCGCAGGAGATCTGCATTTAAGAAAGCCCGTCATACAGAGTGGTGATACATTTTGGTAGCCCGACTGGAAAACACAATAGCACCAGGACGTCGGGCTAGCGATTTTGCGAGCCCTGAAAGGGCTCTACACAAACCCAGCTGAGGAATAAGGGTCTTATCTAGCAAAACGATCAGTCATTTTCTAAAAAATTTTTTTTACATTTATATACTTTTTAACCACAAATGCTCGTCTTGCACTAGCTGGACTTCACGCATTATGTAATCACGTTGGAAAGGTCACGCGTGATGTAGGCGGAAGTACCGACCCAGTGTTTACAAAGCTAACATGCAAAGAAAGTCAAACGCCCTTTACAAAAAAAGGGTAAAACAACGATGTCGGATGATTTTGAGGTTGGAGGAGAAAATGAGATGGAGTTTTTCACCCTACCCAACCTTTCTGAACCGGAGTACACAGACGTAGGTCTAACTGTACGTGACCTTTCCAACGTGATTACGTAATGCGTGAATTTGCAGACGCGCATTGCGGAGCTAGTGCAAGATGGGCATTTGTGGTTAAAAAGTATATACATTTTTATTTCATTTTATTTTTTTTAGAAAATAACAGATCGTTTTGCTAGATAAGAGCCTTATTCCTCGGCTGGGATCGTGTAGAGCTCTTTGAAGCTGCAATGAAACTACAATTTGGACCTTCAACCCATTGAGCACCGCTGAAGTCAATTATATGGAGAAAAATACTGGAATGTTTTCCTCAAAAATCTTAATTTCTTTTCAACTAAAGAAAGAAAGACATAAAAATCTTGGATGACATGGGGGTGAGTAAATTATCAAGAAATTTTTCTTCTGGAAGTGAACTAATCCTAACAGACAACAAAATGGCAAAACATCAGAAATTATAACTTACAAAAAAAAAAACCTACAAAACCTTATCAGCGGAATTAGCAACAATGTAGAATACATTACAGAAAATCAACCACGCAATATCTAAAAATTCAAAAAAGAAAGTTCAAGGCATACAAATGTATGTACACGGTCAATGGTCCGATGGTCCCTATGACAGTTTTTCAACAGGCCCTAAACTCTCTCAATGTCCATGTTCACTTGTTCTATTGAGCGTTTGAGGAATTAAAAGGGAGCAAACTTTCCAGTGAACTTCCAATGGCCCGCATTTTGGTCAGTGGACTGACTACTGAACTAGAGAGCTTAATAAGCCACGCCCAGTAAAAATTGTTCAATAATGGCTTGAGTTTGGGGCGGGACAAGTATTATAAGAAGTATTCGGGGTCATTATTATTTTTGCAGTTCTGTTTGGCTAGCTAATACCGCAGAAACCACACCTTTCAGTTCAAATGCTGTTTTACCGCTGATTCTTTAACATTTATATACATGACACCTGAAATGACTGACCAACTGCTTAGCAAGTGAATTGATTAACATGGCATACTCACAAGCTGTGGGGCCCAATACATTATTAATTTGCCATCCTTCAAAAACGGGCTCCTCATGATGCTGCCGCATTTCATTTTGAGCAATTAGCAAAACAATCCGTGCTAAATCTTTGGCTAAATGTACCGCGCAAACTGAAAATGGGCGGTACTTACCGTCCTGGACCTAGTCTGTAATTGGTCGAGAACAATGGGTCTAAATAATAATTCTATTTTAACAGTTCACGATATATTTTCAATGTAAATGTATATTAAAAACTATAAATATCATTATTCTGGTGTAAATTATTTTAAAAAATGGTGCTTTACGTTGACGGCGTGGTCACGTGGTACCTATTACTGTTCTCAGCGCTGGTCAGGATGGATCAATCCTAACAGTTTATGATGAGAAATGTTTCATTTTTATT